CCCAGCCTTCCCCTCCTCCTGCAGCCCAGGCACCATACCCATCTCCAGCTCCCCCAGCAGCACCATGTGCCAATGGCTGTCTGGAGGCAGCTGGAAGGGGCACCCTGCACCCCCCTCTGGAGAGGGGCCAGTTATCAGTGCCCTTCTCAGCACAGCCTCACCTTTTTGAGGATGATGTCGATGTAGCCGGCAATCAGCTGGGCGATCTGCTCCCCCTCCGTTGTCTGCACCGAGTAGTAACCATCCTGGTAATCTCCAAAATCCTGCAACGGCAGGGCACAGGGTAGCACCGGAGCAGAGCACTGGCGGCCATCCTGAGCCCCTCTGGTATGCGCTAAGCGCCCACGCGCCAGCCTCCAAAACAGCAGCCAGGAGAGGCACCAGAGGAGGGCAAGGCTGTCCCACCATGGGGCAATACCCAAGAGAGGGGTTGGCGTGAGAGCAGCCCCCTAAGGGGGCACTGCCGGGGAGTGGGGGTGGAGGACCAGGGCTGGTCCCTACCAGGGTGAAGCTCTTGGGCGAGGCTGCCCAACGCTTGATGTTGGTCAAGCTCCACTCCTGAATCACTTCCTTGGTCTTCTCGTCCACACGCATCACACACTCCTTGGTAATCCCCAGCAGCCGTGGCACCAGCTTGTTCTTCCCTTTCATCTTCTCCTGCAGGCCACAACAGAAGGGTTGTGGGCTGTCCCCGAGACACATCCGTCCAGGCAGAGACCTTTAAGGCCTGCTGTGGCTACCAAACACCCCCAAGGCCACACTCTCTGGTGGTCACAACCATGACAAGGGGCTTGAAAATGAGAAGAAACGTGAACCAAGAAGTGGGAAGGCAGTGCACAGGGACAGGCAAGAAGAAGGAAAAGTGGATAGTGGAGACACAGGGAAAATTGGAGCAATGTGGGTTGAGGGGTAGCAGCTGGAGACACAACAGATGGAGGGATGCTGGAAAAGAGGAATTTTGGCCGGTGAGAGGTGGGACTGGGGGGAGCTGCTGCTCTACCTTGACCAAGAAGAAGGAGACTCCGTAGGTCTTGAGGGAACGGGCAAGTTTCACGTAGCGAACTTTGGCCTCGATCTCGCTCATGTTCCCGCAGTTCTTGTGGGCCTGCGACAGCAAAGAGGGAACATCACGCTAGCTTCACGATCCCCTGGCTGTGCCACCATCGCCCTGTCACAGCCTTTCGAGGCTCTCCCCACCCTACCGGCATCCCCTGCCCCTTCTACAGCATCCTTCTGACCTCTGGGACCTCAGGAGCTGCCTTGCCTGCCCACCTACAGCTTCCTGCTCCTGTTTCTCACCCGCCAAGCTGCTTTGTGTTGCCTCCAGAGACAAGAGCAGCCTCAAACTTTGGCAAGGAGGAATAAGAAGCCCAGGTCTCAACACCCCCCCTGCACGTACCATGAAGATCTTGCGCTCCCCTTTCTGCTTGATGTACTCCTTGGGCAGGAAATCCTTGAGTCTGCCAAGAGACAGAGCTGTTAGCAGCAGAGCCAACGTTTGTCTTCGACTACAAAGAAGCCCAACCCAGGGCCTCGGACAAACCCTGCCAGGGCACAGGCTGGGAGTTTTTGGGAGCAGGAAGGATGTGGGAGAGGTTGCTGCAGTAATGAAAGCTGCCCCAGGAGCTGCCCTGCTGAGAGTGGGGTGGAGGTGCCGAGGATGCAGCCCTTCATGTGGCATCAGGGGAGACCGTACAGTGGGACGGGGGTCCCCCCATCAGAGCTGGCTGCATGTCCTGGGGAGTGCCAGAGGGAGCAAGTCACGGGGCTGGTACCCCTTGCAGCCGGTGTGGACCTCCACGTTTGGACACCATGCTGCAGGGAGGAGAGGGGTTGCACCAGAGGCAACCGAACCCCTGGAGCCCCTTGTGCCGGCGCGGTGCTGGGGGCTGCCAACCTGCTCCAGAAACTTAGGGCTCCCCACGACACTCACTCCAGAAAGCCTGGCTTGTGCTTCTGTTCATTGTGCGGCCCAAACTGGATCTGGCACTGGTAGCCGGCAAACTCGCAGGCTTTGTCAAAGGAGACAGGGTGGGAACCGTTGAGGATGTCGTCACGAGCCTGCGTGGAAAGAGAAGACACCACCATGGGCTGGGCAGCCATGCAAGCCCTGCCACCGCTCCCCTCGACACCGGGTAGGACATGTTTTCCAGACAGAAAAGAAGTGGCCATGAAAAAGAGTAGGATCTAGGGGCAGGCCTACAGGGACCATCACCATGCCTAGGAGAAGAACAGCAGCAGGACTTCAGGATAGTTCCTACCAGGCAGAGAAGACTCAGGATCCCCTGGGGAGCTCCGGAGTACACTGAGGGCAGGGCTGGGATTGCCAGCGTTGGCTCTTACCCAGGAGATAGCTGGGCATCCTGAAGTGCCCCCCGTGGTGGCTCCTGGCCAAAACCCTCAGCCACCGGCCCTGGCAGGGTGCTGGCATGGGGCAGCGGAGCTAGGCGCTCTGGGGAGCTATACCTGCACGTAGAGCAGGTTGAGCTGCACGGGATCTCGCGAGTCCACGTTCTGATCGGAATAGAAGAACTTGCGCCGCAGCAGCAGCGTTTCGTTGTCGTCGATGCCTTGCTCGCGCAGGGTCCGGCCGTGGTCCAGCCAATTCACTGTAGGCAACGCCAGGGTGTGAGCAGGGACAGACACCCAGCCAGGTATGGTCCTGGCCCTGGGGCTGCTCAGGTGGAGCAAGAAACGAATGTCCGCCTGGTGCATCCCAGCTCTCACCCCTCTGCCCTGGGCCTCCAAGCAGGAGAGACTCCAGAGTGTGTGGGCACATGTCCCCTCGCCACAGTCCTCTCCACTGTCACCTCCGCTCCCCTGCATTGGGTCTTTCCAACTTGCAGGGGTTCCTGCTCCCCTCCCCGCTGCCCTCAGCACGGGCTGACCCTGTCCCCAGCACATGCAGGCACGTACACTCATCATCCGTGTGCAATTTCTGCTTGAGCTTTTCCATCTTCTTCTCATCTCGCAGCAGGGTCTTGTCTTTCTTGAGGGTGCCGGTAACCTCCTCCTTCTTCTCTTCCATAATCTCCCGAACAAGCGAGTACTCATCGTAGTTGGTGATGCCTGCAGGAGAGCAGAGGAGCAAGCTCAGCATGACACTGCTGCCAAATACAGAGCCTGGAGCGATGCACGGGTGCAGAGCAGTGTCCTCTCCCCAGCGTCACACACTCCTCGGACATCCCCGCTGCCAGGCCATCCGCCGCAGAGCTGCTGCCACTCCCCCAGTACCCCCATCAGACGCTGCCATCTCTCCCCACCTCCCTTCCTCCCCCCTGTTGCTGCCCCCTCCTCTCACCGATCCGGGCACAGATTGTCATGAGCATGTCCGTGACGGTTTTGGAGTCATCCACCATCACCGTTTTCACCGTCCCATCCAGCATGCGGATCTTCAGGGGCCGCTGCTTCTTCTTGTACTCCATGGTGTCCTGTGGGCACAGCAGAGCACAGCTCCCAGCAGCAGCATCGGCACAGGGCGCCCACATCCCACCATCACGCCCACAGCTCCCTCTCCCCGGTGCAATTGTGAGGGATTTGTGGGGTGCTGTGGGGCCCAGTGCAAGGCAGCAGGGCAGGCACCCGCACCACCTCTACACCGCGGGCACATCCAACCGCAGAGCCAAGGCGGGTACCAGCTGGACGGACGCGGGATGGATGCTTACCCCATTGCGAAGCATGTAGTAGTCCAGAGCCTTCCCAGCCTCCAGCCAGATCCCTTTCTTTGGGTCTTCATCCGAAAGGAACAGCCCAAAATCATTGGCTGAAAAACAGGTAAAGTCTCTGCCAGGGTAATCCTGAGCAGGACAGGGCCACAAAGATGCCAGCCTGCACCCAGGGATGTGCATCAACGCAGCCCAATGCGTGAAGCACAGCAGCACTGTGAACGCTGGAGCCTAAACCTAACGAGTCGGCAAAAAGCTGGCAAGCAAGCTTCGAGGTACATGTTTTACCATCGTTATCTATGGAAAAAATCATTTGAAGCATGCCTACGCAATGCTGAACTTGGAACTGACAGTCAAAACAGACTTCCTTTCAGAAGGAAAAGCTTGGAGTTGTGGTTGACAGCTCTCTGAAATATTCAATGCGACATGTAGCAGCAGCCAAAGCAAGGTAGTAAAACGCTGGGCATCACCAGCAAGAGTGCTGGGAACCGGTCTGTAAAACCTAGGCACATCCACACTTTGAGTACTCTGTGGTGGTGTGTGGTCTGCACCTCCCCAGAAGGACACAACAGAGTTTGAAAAGATATAGAGGGAGGCAACTTAAATGATGGAGCCTTGGTATGAGGGACTAAAGGAGCTGGGACTCCTCCGTTTGGGGAGGAGGAGGCTGAAGGAGGATAGGATCAAGGCTAACAAGGTCTCAGAGATGGTGAATAAGTGCTGTTCATCAAATCCTGCTCTCTCAAGGCTGGGGTACCCGGTGAAAGGGCTGCTGCCAGAGCCTGGGCAGTGGCACCCCAGCTCGGACCCATGGGGATAGCCCCGTTTTCACGCTGCAAGAGGCCAGCACCACGCTGGCTTTGCCCTGGGAAAGGTCCTTCTCCACCTTTCCAACAACCCCGCGCCGCAGGCTATCTTGGCTGGCTGCTAAGTTTATAACGAGTCATCTTGTTGGCAGCTCTCTGCGGGGAGGGACAAATTCCTGAGCCGCCCCACTCCTGCCTGGCTAACACTGCCGTTAGGATCCTACTAAACAGGGAGCAGAAAAATCATGGAGGCTTGCCATTTTTATTTTTAAATTAAAAAAAAAAAAAAATGTTCAAAGCAAATTCCAAGAGGATAACTCTAAAGCACTGAAAACTGAGCAGCTTGCCCCAGATCCATAACTTGGGCAGGGAGAGGCGCTTCCCGAGGCAGAGCAAGAGCAGAGCTGGAAACCTACAGTGAAACTCCCCCAGCCCAAAGGTGACAAAAAAAACAGGGCAGCTCAAAAAACCCGAATGCCACTGGGTAAGGAGAGCAAAGAGAAACAAAAGCTGCAAGGAACTGATAGGAAAAGAAAAGCTGTGAGCAACTGAAAAGGAACTCGGGAATAAGCAGTTCCCTTTAAGGCTTTCCCCTTGCCTTTTTTTTACAAGCAGGCTGGCTCACGCCCAGGAGCAGGAAATGCAATGCTCCCTCCAACATGGCTACAGCCCCACATTCACATCAACATCCAGTCCTTCTCCGAAACTGAAAGCCGTGGTCCGCCGGACCGCTGGCCAGCCAGGCACGGCGCAAGAAGGCATTTCCTTTTATCCTCAAGGAATTTGCTGCTCCCAGATGTCGCCGCGCTCCCCCTCCTCTTCCCACGACTCCTGACCTCCTGTTTGCTGCCTCTCCCCTGTGGCACAGCCGCTTTCGGAGGTGGCAGGGACCCAGGAGAGCCCCCGAGACGACGTCCCAGTGCTCCAGCCCCCCCATCCATGCAAGGGACAGGCCACGTCCGCATGGGCGTGAGTCACATCATGAGCTCATGAGCCATAAGCTTAATTTTGAGCCTGAGTGGCAGCAAGGAGATATTAGACCTGAGAAGGCTTAGCAAGGTAATGGAGCACCAGCATGGTTCTGGCAGAGAGCTGTCGGCGAGGGACAGACCGAACGGAGGACTATATATCCCCCAAGAAAAGAAAAATTAACTTACATGGTTTATTAACGCTCACTATGACCCCTGCAACTGTTTAAACCCACCTAGTGCTGGCTAGTGGTGATGGATGCAAGTAGGAGAGAGGAGCAGAGACAGAAAGGGCAGCAGGCTCAAAGAGCTTGACAAGTATTTCACTTCCAAATGTGGTTTCCTACCTTTCAAACCCCCAAATTTCTTCTGGGGTGTCAAAGAGGGAACTCAAAGAGCTCAGCCCCTCGCCTCAACTGGGCAGGAGGACTTGGACCTTGCTCTCCCCACCCCCCCACTGCTCTGGGAAAGCCTAGATGGGCATAGAGACAGGAGAGGAAAAGGAGACCGGTGAAATGCCAGGAGCTATGATGGGTTGGCCTTGGTATGACAGCCAGCCCCACTGTGGACTTACGCTGTCCCATCTGGGCCTCGGGCACCCGCTCGCGGATCATCCGGCAGGCGTCGTACACCATGGTGGAGGGTTCGAACTGCATCGTCTTCACCACATTGCCGATGCTGATTTTCAGTGAGAGGGCGACCATGGTGGCAGCTGGGCTGTCCCCACTCCTGCGTCACCTGCTGGAGGAGACAGATGGGTTAGCTGTGACTGCTGGCCCCTCCGGTGTGCAGGGTCCTTCCTCCTCCTCCGTTCTGGCAGCACCTCTGCTCCCCGAAAGCCGGGACCTAGCTTCTAGCGGCAAGCAAGGGCTGCACCCCATGTTGGCGGGCTTGCAAGGGGGTCCCGCTTTCCAGCCCTGTGCTGACCTCGGGGTCTCCGGCCAGTGTTGGGACCCTTGTCTCCTTGTCTCAAGGTCCCAAAGCCTGCTCGCCCGCGGGAGCAATGGTAGCTGGTACTCGCTGGAGATGCTGCCAGTGAGGAGGAAGCAACCGTGTGGGAGCATGCAAGATAAGCCAGGAGACCCAGACAGACGGGGTTATAATTAAACCTGCCATGACATAGAAGCCACAAGAGGAAAACCAAGCTTTGACCCAGAGCTGGCAGGGCCCTGCCCTGGCTATCAGGGCCCCCCATGTCGCCAGTGGATGGTGCTGAGCCAGCAGCTTGAGCACAGACGGACCCAGAGGGATGGAAAAGCCCGAAGCTGCTCGGGGAGGCGAGATAAGGGCACCAGGCACTGAACCTGCCTGCTAAAAATAATTACCTGGGGAAAGCACCACTCACACCGAGTGAGTACTCAGAGATCAGAGTCTACGGCAGCACTGCTGCAGAAACCCTGGGCTGGGAAAACCCTGCACAGGATGTGCAGGAGGGCAAGGGACCAGCTACTGCAGGTCTTTCTGCAAGGGCACGCTAGAGTCGCACCACGCCATCTGAAACAGGCCCCAAGCCGGGTCCAGCTTGAAGGATCAGCTTCAAGCTTGAAGGATTGCGTAGATCAGCTTTAGAGCAAGTAATTCTCAACAGACCTCCAACACACCAGGTTTAAAATTAAAACGACAATATTCTTACAGCGGAGCAAATCCGGAAATAAATGACAAAAGTAAAAGGAGTTTGTAAATAAGCCCCCTGCTTGCCTGCTGCAGCTTGTAGGGCTTATAGAGCCTGCTCCTTTGGGTTTACCCACCGTGCAGCAGCTTTCAGCCCTCCCAGGTTGCTGCGTCCCTCGGGGTCCCTGCGCCGGGTCCTTCTCCCTGCCCTTCTCAGCATCCCCGGTCCCCAGCTGGCTCCAGCCTGACACCCTCCAGCAGTGACATCCCTTTTCCTCTCCCCAAAAGCCTGTTCGTGGGGAAGAAGTCCCCTGCTCTGCCTCGACCCAGGCTGCCTTTTCCTTAAACCCCAGCCAGTAGGAGGATGGAAAAGCACTGGTGGGATGCACCATATCTGCTTGTTCTCTTTTAGATTGATTTTCTCCTACCAGGCCTCCTATTATGGCTGTCAGGGAAAGGTTACTGGCCACGTGCATCCTCAGCCTGGCCCGGGAAAGTTCTCGGGCAAGGCTCGCTGGC